ACGAGCGAATAAGTTCTTTATAGATACCAAAGTAAATTTAAAACAAAATTAAATCTTTGTAATATCAAAATATACAATAATCTTATAGTTGATAAATAAGAAAACATTAAATGACTTTCCGCAAAAAAGAATTTTTATAAATGACAAAGATTTTTATATTTTTAGAAATATTATATCAGGAATATATATTACTAGAATATTTTTGATTTTTCTTTTTATATATCTTTTATTCTGTAATTATCAATTATAAAAGCATAAGCAAATATATTAAAAAAAAGTTGAACTTACAAAATACAGCAACATACACATATGTATGTTAGCATCACCAAGAATGTTGCGAGAAAAAATATGAAAAAAAGATCAGTTATAAAATCCATATCTTTAATGCTCACTGTATTATTATTATTATTTGTTAATTCTATAATTGGGATTGTTCTTTTTTTATCATATTGTGGTAAAATATCTATAAGTGTAAATAAAGTCAGATTTTTATTGTCTTCTTTATTGTTTATTATATCTTCAATATTTATTAATTGGGGTTTTACTAAAATTTCTAAATCTAAAGCCACATTTTTATTGTCAGTGTTATTATTTATTATATTGTTTTTATTTATTAATGCTGATTCGTCTTTTGATATGACAGCTGAAAGAATAACAACAACAATTTGTAATTTGTAATTAATTTGTAATTTGTAATTTGTAATTAATTATATTTAATTTATAAAGATAATTTTAATAATAATAGGTATTTATTACTTTAAAAAATTTTTACTTTATTAAAAATAAACATGTATTATGAATAAGATAAATGATAAAATAATAAACTTAATCATAAAAACATAAATTAATTTTTTACAACAATAAAGTGATTTTATTTTACTAATTTTAAGTTTAATTAAAATATAAACACATAATAATACGGAGAATTGTTCAATATGTTCATATGTTTATTTAGATTATGGAATGTACTAACAAAATGAGAAATGAAAATATAAAATAAATAATTACATAATTTGTATTATTCTATGCTTTTCGATATTTTTTATATAATTGTTTATAACACTATTTATTACTTATGATACATAGCTATTTTTTATTAAATTTTGGATTACTATATATTTTCTCTATTATGTATTATTTAGTTATTAATTATAATTGTGATTTATATACATATACATATATATTTATTTTGTTTCAGTGATGTAGATAAGCTTACCTAATTGTAAAACTAAAATTGCGAAGATAATCATCCATAATAATTGTCTAATATGAAACATTGTTTACTCTTTTGTTTAGTAATCTGACCAAATTGTATTTTTTTATTATTCACTTGGTGATAATTAATATGTCTTCATCTAAAATTAATGACAAATTATTTGTATTTAAACTTGTATATGCGATAATTAGTTATTTAAAAGTTTATATTTTTACATTAGACTATAATGATTTGTTGACATAGAAGGACAAATCAATAAAATCAGATTAACGGAAAATATTTATTATAAGAGTTAAAAAGGAGCTAAGAGATAATAATGGAATATAAAAAGATAATGAAATACAAAATATAATTAGAAAAGATAAATACATGTAAAAACCAGATGAAGAATAAAAAATTGCAGTTTTTAATTGAATCTTAACTATTAAATGAAAAATTAAAATTTAATTATATATAATTGATGCAAAGAGAAGTTGAGACTTTATATCTGTTAGTATTAAGATCAGATGTATTTATAAAATAAATTTAAATATCGTTTAATGCATTTAACGTATTTAAATTGTATTTAAATTGTTACAAATTAATAATACCGTTTACAATATTGATAGTACTTATTACATAAATGTTAGGTGGACTCGACAGTTATATTAATATGGAATTCGTTTCTTCTTACCAAATTGAAAGATTGCCTCTACGTCCTATGTGTATGACAGACAACATATGACTGATAATTTGACTCATAGGAAACAAACAATATAATTTCTTTTGGCGAGAAATGTAAATACACGCATAACGTATCTCATAACTAGCTTTTCTTGTTATATACTATATTTATGTTATCAAATACTTATTATTTATATTTTATACACTGTATCTATTTCTCTTTTAAATTGCCTGTCAAAAATAGCTTTTAAAAGAAATTTTTTACGCATTTTATGACTCGACAAAAAATATGTCGTAATATACTTAAAGTAAACTGTACCATTGTAATAATTAATTATGTAATATTAACTTCTAAATTTAATTGTTGAAATTATATTAAATATTCTATTTAGATTCTCTATGTTTGATATTATCGGGTATTAGTCTTGTGAATTGAGGAATATTCGTCTCGCTGTTGCGTAAAAGCGAACATTCTGACGGTCTAATTTCCTCTAACCCTCACGTTTAAATCGATGATTCACGAGACACCTCCGTCGAGTAGGAAAATTAATGTCGCAACGGCGGACTTGGAGGGCCGGTAAAGAAGTCGCTGTTTTCCCGGCAGTGATTCAGGAAGGCGATGAACGCGAGTATTTTAGAATCTTAAACGAGGTTCCCTCGACTTGTTAGAAACGCGACGGTCAAGTGGCCCTTCAATCATCAATCTTGCTTTTGGACTTCCATCGGGTCAGTTAACCGAGAGAAGTGACCGAGAGAAGTCAAATTCAGACTGTGTTCACCCATCGCTCTTAATTTCATATTTTGTCATCTCTCTCTCTCTCTCTCTCTCTCTCTCCTAAAAAAATCTCTGGGCCGTCTCCGGGTCTACTTAGCGATCGTCGAATCTAGCCGGCGTCTCCTATTCTCTTCTTTTCTGCGTAAGCTGTACGATCGTACGATCGAGGCGCGATTTTTACGAGCGCTTAAAAGTATGGAGAGCGCCTTTTCGTCGGCACAAGGAACTCCGTTGTTCAGCTCGGAACGAAGGAGCTTTTTTACGCGAGTAGAAAGACTTTCAGTCTCCATATGTATATGTGTGTGTATGTGTATGTGTGTACGTGTTGAAAGGAGATTTTTTCCTAAGTTTCCTCAAACATCGACAATGACGGGCTAATTAATGAACTCGGGACGTCCTCCCTGTGTATATCCCCTCTCATCCCTCACTCCTCGAAAATGATGGATATACCCTGGAAAATGAAATCTCGGCGCTACACCATATTTCACGCGTCTATGAAAGACGCAGTGGCTGCTGCAAGCGTGCGAGCCGATAAAAAGCGTGCGTCGATACGATACGATTTCCATGAAAAACCGAGTATTCATTCCGCACAATAAATAGCCTCGCAATTACGTGAAATTAACGCGTTCGATTTTTGTTCGTTTAAAAGGCACGCGAGCAGTACGGGATACAAATGTCATATTTCTCGTTATTAATCACCGTTGAATAATTTCAACGCGTTTTGCAAATCGTTCAGCTTTGGTGAGATTAAATTACGTTTTCATAGCGGTGACAATGTCGAATTGTGAACCTACGCGAACCTGGCAACATGAAATTAATAAATAATTATGCAACTCGCATCGCAACATACGATTTTACCGTGTAACGGATGCTTTTATCGTAATTATTTCTCTTTTTTGTAAAATTATTACAATGCTTCTCCTTTAATGTGTAATATATATTAATTTAATATGTGGACAATACGTACGAGTTTATTATTAAGAAAAAAACATTTTTGTTGGTAGATTTGAAAATAATTTTATTGAGTCTTTTCAAAATTATTATGTATAACATTCAGATTGATTGCTATATAAGATCAACAATTTTTATACAGTATTGTTATCTTTAAGCGTTCTACATTATAATTTTATTATTATTAATAATTTTAATTATTAATAATAATATGAAATATTTTCAGATCTATATTTGATCAGATTTTTAGATTTGCCAGCAGAACTTTCCGTGTATATGTAATTTTTTGTATTATACGTATGTGTAATAATTTTAATATGTATCAATTATTAATATACATATACATATACACATAAATTAATTGTTTATGTTTAGTCACTCTTATTAAGTTATTAATCTCAATGACACATGCTATTCAATTCTCACTCCGCTCCATTTTCCACACAAACTGGTTACCGAAATGCAGAAATTCTGTGCTTTTAATCTATTTAAGAGATCGATAGTAGTATCATCTGTAATGTCTGGTTGTAATAAAATGAATCCACATCCATATCCATCTTTGTTTACACTCGCCATCTTCCCTCTCAGTGAAAAGTCTTGCGCAATTGCACAAATAATATCTAGAGTTGGATGTGAAATTCCTAATGTTTGTAACAATCCTTGATTCATATGAATAAGATTCTGCAAAATATATATTAAGAATGATTAAAATTGATTACTCTGTACAGAAATGTTGAAGCACGCATAAAGTATTATATAATATTAATATTATATAAATATATTAATATTATATAATATTTTACATAATAATATTATATAAAATATTATATAATATTCTTTCTTATTATCCATCGTTTTCCAAATAAGAGAACGTACCCGGTGCAGATATATTGAACTTGTACATAATTTTTACAAAAAGATATTTCTAGTATTTCGAGAAGTAGCGTAATGTCGAGTTTGCGCCTTATGATTTTCGTGACTAAATATTAAGGTAAAGAAATTGTCCGCAAATAATGTTTATCACTTTTTCGTGTTATATTAAAAAGACCATAAATAACCGTATTTAAAAATAATTTGCCAGCAATTTGATATTATCGATTTTTTGTCTATATATAATTCTTTTTAGAGATTTATCAAATGGTTCCTTTTTTTTATGTTACTGATGAAATAGTGAAAATTGTCTTCACTTTTTTCTGTGCACAAATTTATATTGCACATTTTTAATTATTAAAATTTTTATTAAGAAATTTTTAATAAGAAAACATGAGAATCTTTTCTCATATATAATCTAATAATGGATATGTTACTTACAGTGAGAGCAAAGATTTTTCTTGAAACGAATCAGAGATAAAATTTAACAATTAAATATTTAATTATTGTCAAACTGATCTATTATCCTCTTTAACACTTAATGATTTGCTAACAATATTTTTCTGTGTTATAATCATGTAGATATAGAAAATAAATATTTTTTGTAACATCAGTTTGACAAATAATAATGTTAAAATAACACACACCTAATCAGGATGAATCATATATAAATATAGACATGAATATAATGTTTGATATTATTGTTTCGGTTATTAAATGTTCGTTTTTAAATTCGGTTATTAAAAAAATCGAAAAGTTAGTTAAATTAGATGTCTTGTCTCTCTTTTTCTCCCTCATTTTTTTATAAAAGAATATTTAAGAAGCGCGAGGCCAAAAAATATGATATCAAAATGTGAAATAAAAATTTTAAATCAAAATATTAATAAACATCTTATGATATGACATTCTTGAATTAAAAATTTTTTTATTTTACATTTTGATTTTATATTTTTTCTCCGTGCTTCTTAAATATTTTTCGTTTTAATTTTGAAACCAAGGTGGAAAATCTCAGACAAAGGAAACATAATTAAAATTTATTACCCTAAAATTTCACGCGCGACATCATCGTAAAATCAGTTTCAGGGCTCCAATTACAAATTTAGATGATTTCGCGTGTGATCGTTGTGAATCGTAGATCTCGCATGGCAACTGTGCGTTCGCACAGTGCCTGCTATGATTTCGTTGTTGCGAGCAACGACGACGACATGGACGAAGACGACACTTGACCTCTGGAAGACGGCGAGTCGTCCGGGAAACTATGACTAGACCCTAATGATTAGTCACCGCCTGACGGTTCTCGAGAGGTCCTATTGACGACGTTAAACATGCTCAGCAGGAATGCATTTGACCCAGGAAGGCACGTTAGTTAATTTCGTTGTCCGTTGATGGGTTGGGAACAAGGCAACTTACAGTTTCTTCGATCATCTCAGCGCCGAGAGACTTCACAAGAATTCTGCATATAGAACAAAGTTTTGTTATTTAAATAAACAAGTCTATTGGTTAATCAAGCTTAATTATCAAGATAATTGATTCGATTGCTGAATCAAGATTACTTTGTATCTTCCTTGATTTAGCTTTTAATAAGCGATTAATAATTCACTTTTCAGTGATGAATGTTTAAGGTGAAAAAGAGGCAAAAAATACGTTAGAGAAGAGAGAGAAAAGAGCATGTGAGATAAGACTTTTAAGTTGTCATAAATCTTTTCGCAGAGCAATTTCGAAAATTCGAGCTTACATCACAGCAATATTTCAAATTCATTCTACGTAATGCACGTCGCGCATCTTGATTAGATGTAGAAACTTCTACCGAACGCGAGTCGCATTATGCATCTCATATTTTTTTATTATATTCGAAGAGATGCAATTTGAAATTACCGTGACTGCTGGCGTATGACTATTTTTTTTTTTTCTATTTTGCAAAGCGACGCTCGCATTTCCAACTACGTGTCTATTACGGTTAAATCAAAGTTACAACAAACATATTACGGACTACTCGACATGCCGGCTACATTCTTGCAAAACATATTAGTTGGACAGATCCTTTAACAAAACGCTCGATTCAATTTTTTTATTCAGAATCGTTCAATATCATTATTTTAAATTTCATAATTTTTAATATCAAGTATTTTATCAATGCCGAGTGTCAAATCAAGCTTTCGCTAAGAAAACGACATTTTTATCTTACAATTCTTTATATTTCTCTTACACTTTTGAAAAACGTTTTCTTTCAATAAAGCGAAGCGTTCGCGTTTTATTTCGACGATCCGCCTTGTATAATCCGAGCGGCTTGCGTTACTCCAGATAAATGTCTGCGCATTCAGGCCGCGGCGGCTGTCGCGAAAATTCGCGAGACGAATGTCGAGGGTGGATGCACTCTGTGGATGCACCAGCCGGGTGCCGGTGCGTGCCGGGGTCTCCTTTTTCTGGACACGACTCGTTTGCCGGCGCTGGGGCGGGATCGCATTTATAC